GGCCACTCAGACATCCCTCTTTTCCATATCTTTTGATGAACAGAAGTCCCTCTTTACCTCTAATAGTACATATGTTATTAAAAGTAGCTCACACATATGGTGACTCTCAAATGCCAGACACCGTTCAAAATAGTCTGCATAGAGTAATTCACTGAATCTTCACAACGACCAGATCAGGGAGATTCTCCAAGTAATCCTCAGGTTTCTCAGGTGAGGAAATCGAGTCAAGGTGACATTAAGTGGTGGAGTCGGAAATTCAAACAAGAATCTCCAAGATTAATCCTTAAAAGGAGGACAAAGAAGGGTGACTTCTCCATTATCTGACTGTGACAATTGAATTGCAATGAACAAATACATCTATGTACAAGACAGAGAGGCCAGACACAGATACTGTACAAGTGGGAATCTAAATATAATGGAGTTGGTGCACCAAACTGGTTGGGGGAAATGTACTGTTTTTGAGAGAGAGAAAAAAAAATAGAACTCTACCTCATACCACTTACGTCAATTTGAGGTGGATTGCAGACTGAAGATTCAAAACAGAGCTTTAACAGAGAAAATAGTGAAGAATGTCTTTTTGAACTCAGGGTGAAAAAAATGTCTTAAAGAACCAAAAGCGCCATGATAGAAGTATCTGGTATATTTAACTAATTCCAATGTCGTGACTCTGATGGTTAATTTTATGTGTTGACTTGATTGGGCTAAGAGATGCTCAGGTAGCTGGTGAAGAAATTATTCTGGGTGTGTCTGTATGTCTGTCTCAGGAAGAGATTAGCATTTGCATCAGTAAACTGAGTAAAGATCACCTTCACCAATACGGGTGGGCTGATCCAAGCCATCAAGAGCCGGAATAGAACAAAAGAGCAGAGAAAACTTAAATTCAGTCTCTCTGCTTGAGCTGACACATCATCTTTGCCTGACCTGTGACATCAGACATAGGTCCTTCTGGCTCCCAGGCTTTTGGACTGTGAAAATTAGTAATGAGAAACCTCACTAAAATGGAGTTGGGACGTTTTGGCAGGGGGGAGCTCTCACGCCCTACCACTCATGTCAATTACAGACCCAACAGAAAAGACAGACTTGACATTATAGTCCATCTTGCAGGTGGGTACTACTGCATTCTAGCTGGAAGAAGAGACACTTTCCTCATCTCAGGCAAAAGTTCAGCCAATGAAAAGCCACCACACTTGAAACTTCCAGTTTATTCCAGTGAACTTTTAGCTTATAACAGCTTTCCCAACTTACCCTTTCTCCTTAAAAAAGCATGTCTCTTCATTGTTCCCCGGACTTGCCTATGGTTTTGCCCCAGCTTGTTTGTCCCGGACTGCTGTGCTCTTTTACTTCCAAATAAACCCATTTTTTGCTGCTAAAATAACTGGTTTTTATTTTTAAGGTTGAAAAGACCCAGATTCAGGCTTAAACCATTAGCTCCCAGATTCTCAGGACATTGGACTCCTGCTGAATCACACCACCATATTTCTGCTTCTATAACTTGCAGAACATCAATCTAGCAGATCATGGGATTTCTTGGCCTCTGTAACAACACGAATCAAATCCTATAACAATAAAAACTCCTCATATGTGTATTTATGTGTTTCTCTTCAGAAACTTAACTCAATGACATAAAAAAATTAAAAAGAAATTACAGTCTAGAAGTTTTTCACCATACAAAAAAGACAATGAATTAGTATCCTGAATGTCACAAAACTTCTACAGATCAATAAAAATAAAAGTCAACTCCCCAAACTACATAGGCAATAATACACACACACACACACACACACACACACACACACACACACAAATCCAAATGGCCAATAAATATGAAAAGATGTGCAGGATTACTAGCATTGAGGCAAATACAATGAGATACTAGTTTTTACTCATTTATATTAGGAATAATAAAAGCATGTGATAATTTTTTAAATGGGCCAAGATATGGGGAAACCAGAACTCTCCCACACTGCCAGTGGAGATATAAATTGGGAGGCCAATCTGACTGTTCTAAGAAAGCTGAAAACGAACATAAATACAACCCAGTAATTCTATTTCTTTGTACAAAGCTATGCAGTAAAGCATTGTTTTAATTAACAAATATTTGGAAATAATCTTGTTGTCCATCAACAGGGGAATGAATAAAATAAAAATTTATGCCAGATCTAATTTACTTTGTTGGCCTGACTAAGATCTACATATAGCAATGTCTTTAGAGCTTGTAAATGTCATATTGACTTTTTAAAAAGGTAACGGGATAAACTGATAAAACCACATGTGCCATGTTACCATTAGCTGAATATGCTTTTGTCCATAAACTTGAATATACATTGAACTCCTTGTTATTTCTCAGCAGTGAAGAGAGGCCTAGGAGAGATCGTGGTGTGAGAACAAAAGTGGTATTATCCTGGCCTTTATACAATTGCTATGATGAATGCCCCTGGTTTTTCCAAGATTGAGTATAGGAAAAACTTATTGGACATGGAGAAACAGCTGGAGAGGGGTGTCTTTTATTGAGAAGAGTGGTCCAAACTGAGTGTCCGAATTGAGTGCATTGACAAAAAATAAAATAGAATTTTGAATAAAATTGCTTGAAGAAGCCCCTTCAACACCACCCAGCTCCCAGTCCTTTCAGGAATGCTAGTTTAGAAAACAGTGTCCTGATGCAGCTAAGTTATATTCTTAACATTCCTCGTCCTTATTGACCCAGAGAAATAAAAATATATGAAAATAACTGAGTGAAAACATAGGAGTGCAATGGGAACAATATATTCTGAAAATCATTTTTGTTTCTTCCCCTTCTAACTGTCCCCACCCTTTTTAATGCTAGGTTTCCCAGAGCATCTATCTGCCAGGGAAGGGATTGTGATATTCCTGAAATATTATGAGAATTTCAATTTCTAAAATTAAAAGTAGGAATATGAGCCAGGTATTGACCTTGGACTTTTTAGAATTCTTTTATTTCTCTGCACTGCTGTACCCATGATTGATCTATGCCGAAAGAAAAAAGCCCTCAAGATCTGAGTTGCTTCTCCCATAGAAGTTTATTCCTTGCTCGTGTAAGATCTGCTTCGGGTCCAGTTGCACTCTCGGGCTACTCCCTTCCCAGGGGTTCTGGTCAACCTCCATCCTGGGCTTCTACTCTCTGAATACCTGCCTTCAACTCCTTTCCACCCAAGCATCTCCCTCCCATCTTCCACCATGCTGGGGCTCCCCGAGTTCAGCCTCTCAGCCTCAGTTTTCTGCAGAGTACCCTTCCATCTCCTGTGACATTCAGAAAGACTAAGTTGCCTCGCTGCCTGGCGTAGAAATGAGACATGGTCTCTTGCTGCTCTTCGATCCAAACTTCAAACCAACACTACCTTGTCATAACTCTGGCCTTCAGGTTTATGTGGGGCTTCGAATTCCAGAGCTCTACTGAAATTCTGTGGGGGAGAGCTGGAGGGAGGGGAGCGGTGGTTTGCTTCTCTGAAATGTTTCATTCTGTGGCCAAGCCATCATTTTAGACTTCCAAGATTTATCCTCAGTTTTTCCGCTTCTGTGTATTTTCAATACTGACACCGAAATGACCACATCTCACTGCTATTACTTAGACCTTCTACTTCTCCTGCCCCCACATTGTCACAGAACAACTAAGCTGATTGTTTAAATATGTAAAGCACAGCATGTCAAGGGCTGTTTCAAACTTCCAATGCCTTCTCATTTCAAGTTGAAAAAACCCCAAATACTGGACATGAACCACAAGGGCCTGCATACCCTGAACCCTGCCTCTCTCCTTCTTCCTCTCTATGCCCCAGACACAAAGAGCTTTCTTTCTCTTCCTGAGAAAACATAAGTTCCATGTTAGGTCAATTACACTGATGGCTTCCTCTAAGTGGAAATCAGCTCCAGCTTTCCATTGAGTCAGTTGGGTCTTGGAAAAGGTCTACTGCTTAATGCAACTTCCCCTGACTACTGGAACGCAGGCCAGCCCTGCCCATTCTGCTCTAGCATCCCATCCCCTTCAGTTTCTTCTGAGTACCAGGTGAAATTATCTTGTTCATTCATTTGTGTGCATGCTTACTGGGATGAATCAATGAATTCGCTATATGAAATATGCATACAGCATTGAAAAGGCAGTGCAGACTTGGGGGGAAGATATTCGGGTGATGGCACGTTAGTCCTCGGCATGCTTGCCTCCCAGAAACTCGGGTGCTCCTACCCAGCAAAGCACCAGGTGATTCGTACAAATCAACTTTAAGGTAGGGCTGCAAACCAAATCCCCTGCACCCACCCAGTCAGCTAGCGCCCAAGAACCATCCACCGAACTCAGTCATCAACACCACACAATGCAGCCAGCCAATAAAAATCAGTCTTGCTTAAAATGTTTTAATATAATTATCAAGAAAAGTACAGAAGAGAATAACCTCCATCCCTCAATTGGTTGAACGGACAATATTTATTAGAAACAAAGTCAGATTTGAACATTTTGGTTATCTTTAATATGTTTGTGAACAAATACTGGTGATAACACATATTGAATACATCAAAGACTCAGAAAGATGATAAATTATTTTCCGAACCTCTACTGACACATTTGGTCAAAAGAGCCTAGTTTTTCAAGGATAGGGGTAAGGGAGGTGGGAGAGGAAAGGGAGGGAGATTGAGGAGAACCAAAACCCAGCAGCATTCATAGTTGACCCAGAGGATAGGAGTCTGGGGGAGATGAGGCTCTGGCCACCTCAGCAGGACCCAGCTCACAGAGACACAAGAGTGCTTAGTGGATGAAACCTCAGCTGGTGACATGGGATTCAGCAGTGTCCAAAGACATTCCAGGGTCTGGCAGAAAGAACAAACTATGGAGAACTTGGTAAAGAACATGGACTCAACGCATCAGTGGCAACATCATAGGACTCTCAAGCAAGACCAGCGATCTGCAAGCTCTCCCAAAGCTCTGACATAAATGTGGCCAGTCTCAAGGAGCCTCCACACACAAGAGCAATGGGTTACAAAGGTGTCCCCTGGGATTAGGGGACAAGGGCACAGCCCGACCCGGAAGCCTCAGCCCCTCGCCGGAGCCCAGGGCTTGGTGGTGCGGGCTTGTCCATCCAGCCTCCATCCACAGGAAGGGGCTGAGCCTTGCAGTGCTGAGCTGCGTGCCCTGTTCCCACCGACAGGCGCCTCTTGGCCCGGGCCTGGATGCTAGGCCCCTGAGCACCCTGTTCCCGAGGACGACGACCAGGAGGACCACGCCTGCCGGTGGGCGGCTGGAGATCTGGGGCAGAGGGGTTGGGGGGCGGTGGCCGGGTGGGGCCAGACTCCCGGGAGGTGCGGGCGGGGACAGCCCCGGACTGGGCATCAGAGGAAGAGCTCTGCGCGGGCAAGGGGCGCGCGGAGGCCGGGCGCAGAGCGGTGCGGCGGCGGGTGCCCCGGCCAGCGGCCACAGGTCGCGGGGCGCGCGGGGCCCGGCGCGGGGGGAGGTGCCTCAGGCCCAGCGCGGCTCTCCCGGGGGCGCGCACCTCCCTCCAGGCGCGCAGCTCCCGACTGCCCTGCGCCGCGGGCTCCGTGTGGTCCACGGCAGCCCGGTCCTGCCCGCGCTTCCACAGCTCATAGCGCTCGGGCTGCAGGATGCGCACGAAGGCGTCCATGGAAAAGGTGACCCGGGCCCCCCCGCAGCTGCACTGGGAGGCCACCTTGCCATAATCGATCCAGCGCGGGGTGGCGAAGTTGATGGCTTCTGCGCAGTTGAAGCCATGGTTGAAGCCAGAGTGGTAGCCATAGGGAAACGTCACCATGAACTCGCCAGCCTCCTGCGTGATCCGACTGAAGGGGATCCCGTTGTCCTTGAGGACGGTGGGCGAGATGAGAGCCACCTTGTGCCGCAGGAAGGCCTCGCAGGCGCGGGCGCTGCCCGGGAAGAGCTCCGTGGCCAGGCGTTCCAGGCGCTGGCCGTGCTCTGGGGGCACCGCGTACCAAGTTTTGGGCTCCCCGAAGTGCAGGTAGTTGATGCTGTAAAGGTCCATGTCCTCCGTGTGCCAGGCGAAGGTGGTCTTCCACATGCCAAAGTACAGGTAGGGGGTGTTGACGCCCTCGATGACCACGCCGCACTCCTGCTCCAGCAGGTCCTGAATGGTTCCCAGGTGTCCGAGGTTCCACTCTTCCGTGTTTTCGTCAAACAAGGAGCCGCTGATGTCAGCGCCATAGATCGGAGAATCGTAGAGACGGGTTTTCCAGTATTTTCGCTCCAAGTCCTCAAAATCCGAGTGTGGTGGAGTCCGATACTTTCTGCTGTTTGCCAAATGGCAATACTCCCCCACTGTCATGGCTTTCTTCTTTTTATGGTATTGAGTAAACACACCTGCCTGGCCGGAGACCACCTGCTGGAGGGGAGTGGCTATTAAGATGTCACTGATATCATCGTAGGTCTGTCTGGCTTTCCATTCCTTGGGTGGAATCACCTTAGCGAGGCCTGCTCGGTGTGCGCCTTGGGATTCCATGTAAGCAATATATTTATCAAAATCATTAAACTCTTCTTTGGTTGGATGAAATATCATTATGGTACAACTTGGGTTCTGAGCACAGTTGGCCTTAGACTTCATAGCTTCCATTAATAAGCACCAAACTCCAAAGGTTTTCAGTATGTTCTAGATAGTTGAGGATGCTGGAAAATGCTACTTTTTAAAAAATGCGTTTGAGTATCTGAGTCACTATGAACCACCAGTGGACCTTTATGCAAGTGAAATGATAATGTTTGTTAGGCTTGCTGATTCACCAAGGAACAACGCTCTGGGTAGAAGAGTTGCCTAGAACTAACAGTGGCTGAGCCTATGATGCTCCTCAGTCAGTACCTGACACTGTTCCTTGGAGGTCTATTGAATCACTCAGTCTTGGAGTGGGTGTCCTAAAGGTTGTATCTTCAGGGCAGTGTTTAAACAAAGCCTAAAAGGAAGAACATAAAAAGTTTGAAAATTAATGTTGCAAAAATTATTAGAAAGTTACAAATAAAATAGCACTATGGAATATTATTGCACACTCAGAGGAAGGCTAAAAGTTTATAAGATTGACAAAACAAGAGGTGGTATAGACATGGAACAATGGGAAGGGTCATACTCTAATAAAGAGAATGGAAATTGTTAGATTCACCTTGGAAAACTATTTGGACAGTATATACTAAAATTGAGCATCTGCATGTGTAAAATTGAACACATACATGTGATATGACTGACTGTTACCACATGTCTAGGTAATGTGCATGGCTCTGCACTGAAAGTCACCTCCAAGAATGTTTATAACAACATTATTTCTAGTAGCCAAATACTGGAAATAACCTATAAGCCCATCAACAGTAGAATGAATAAATACATTATGGTATATTCATACAATGGAATATAATACAGCAATGAAGATTTAAAAATTACACAGAAATATAACAATAACTTTATAATCATTATACTGAGCAAAATCATCCAGACTCAAAAGAATACCTATTTCATGATCCTATTTTTATAAAGATAAAAATGAGGCAAAGTAATCTATATTAGAAGTCAGAGTAGTGGTTATCTTTGGGAAAGAGAGAGGTTGTGAGTGGGGGCATAAGGAAGCCTCTGGAGCATGTTAATATTCTTGTTTCGAACCTAGGTGCTGGTTACATAGCCATCAGAAGAGCTAACTGTGAGAATTCATCAAGCTATGAGGATTTCCCAAATTTCCATGGATATTTCCTAAAATATCCATTTTAGATATGTTTATCTAAAAATAGAGTTAAGGTACAGCTCAGCCACAATAGTAGGATGCACAGAGCCCACATAGTAGACACCTCTGAAGTGCCTGGTTCTAGCGAACAAGGGGCATTGTGCTATAGGGCACCACAGGACCTCTTCTTTATAGGGTCACCACTTTCCAAGATCAGGAGACATAGCTGACTTTCCTAATATGTAGAAACAGACACAGAGAATTTAACTAAATGACACAAAGGAATATGTCCCAAATGAAAGAAAAGGACAAAACCCGGAACCATAAAAGACCCCGAATAGCCAAAGGAATGTTGAAAAAGAAAACCAAACCTGGCGGCATCACAATTCCAGACTTCAAGCTATATTACAAAGCTGTAATCAACAAGACAGTATAGTACTGGCACAAAAACAGACACATAGATCAATGGAACAGAAAAGAGACCCCAGAAATGGACCCTCAACTCTATGGTCAACTAATCTTTAACAAAGCAGGAAAGAATACCCAGTGGAAAAAAGACAGTCTTTTCAACAAATAGTGTTGGGAAAATTGGACAGCCACATGCAGAAGAATGAAACTGGATCATTTCCTTACACCACACACAAAGATAAACTTAAAACGGATGTAAGACCTAAATGTGAGGCAGGAATACAACAAAATCCTAGAGGAGAACACAGGCAGCAAGCTCTTCGACCTCAGTTGCAGCAACTTTTTCCTAGAAACATTGCCAAAGGCAAGGGAAACAGGCAAAAATGAATTATTGGGACTTCATCAAGATAAAAAGCTTTTGCACAGCAAAGGAAACAGTTGCTAAAACCAAAAGACAACTGACAGAATGTGACAAGATATTTGCAAATGTCTTATCAAATAAAGGCCTAGTATCCAAAATCTATAAAAAACTTACCAAACTCAACACACAAAGAACAAATAATCCAATCAGGAAATGGGTGGAAGACATGAACAGACATTTCCCCAAAGAAGACATACAAATGGCCAACAGACACATGAAAAATGCTCCACATCACTTGGCATCAGGAAAATACAAATCAAAACCACAATGAGATACCATGTCACACCAGTCAGAATGGCTCAGATTAACAAGTTAGGAAATGACAGATTTTGGCAAGGATCCAGAGAAAGGGGAATCCTCTTACACTGTTGATGGGAATGCAAGCTGGTGCAGCCACTCTGGAAAACAGTATAGAGGTTCCTCAAAAGTTGAACATAGAGCTACCCTATGACCCAGCAATTGCACTTCTGGGTATTTATCCCAAAGATAAAAATGTAGTGATCTGAAGGGGCACATGCACTCCAATGTTTATGGCAACAATGTTCAAAATAGCCAAACTATGGAAAAAGTCCAGATGTCCATTGACAGATGAATGGATAAAGATAAAATATATATATGTGTATATATATATATATATACACACACACACACACACACAATGGAATACTACTCAGCCATCAAAAAAATGAAATCTTGCCATTTGCAACAATGTGGATGGAACTAGAGGTTACTATGCTAAGTGAAATAAGTCAACTAGAGAAAGACAAATATTATATGATTTCACTCATATGTGGAATTTAAGAAACGAAATAGAGAATCATAGGGGAAGAGAGGAAAAAATAAAACAAGACAAAATCAGAGAGGGAGACAAACCATAAGAGACTCTTAATCATAGGAAACAAACTGAGGGTAGCTGGAGGGGAGGGGTGTGGGGGGATGGGGTAACCGGGTGATGGACATTAAGGAGGGCACATCATGTAATGAGCACTGGGTATTATATAAGACTGATGAATCACTGAACTCTACCTTTGAAACCAATAATCCATTATATGTTAATTAATTGAATTTAAATTAAAAATATATAAAAAATAAGGGACGCCAGGGTGCCTCAGTAGGTTAAGTGTCTGCCTTCAGCTCAGGTCATGATCCCAGAGTCCTGGGATGGAGTCCCGCATTGGGCTCCTTGCTCAGTGGGGAGACTGCTTCTCCCTCTGCCTGTGCTCTCCCTCTCTCTCTCTCTCTCTCTCTCTCTCTCTGACAAATAAAATCAGAATTAAAGTTAGGATCCTAAAATAAAAAGAAAGAAGAAAGAAAGAGAGAGAGAGAGAGAGAGAGAAAGAAAGAAAGAAAGGAAGGAAAGAAAGAAAGAAAGAAAGAAAGAAAGAAAGAAAGAAAGAAAGAA